AATACTGCAGGTCGCAATTAAGATTGAACCAATCTTAACTCAGCACATAACAATCGGTGAAGATTCCGCTTCATCAATTGTAGGTTATCCTATCAGAGTAGTATCGAACGAAATCTAGACCTTCATAGTGGCCAATTGAACCAAACAATAGTTTCCTATAAGAGATCTAGAAAACTTGATAATCCAGAAACTTGTTCATTAGCTAAGAATAGCATATTAGGTTTTAGGATTCAAACTGATATCAAGAATATCTCCATAACTTTAAATATCTTTACCAACAATAAAAAGAGACTCTTAACTGATGGATTTCATATAATCTTGAATTACTCTGTACTCCATTAAAATGTAACCCTGACTATCTGACTAACTTGAACATTCTATCGAAAAAAGAAGAACAAATTTCAATGGGCTGGAAAAAAGGACACCTCATCAAAATACTAAAGAAAGGAGATTTAAGTAGATGTGAGAACTATAGAGGAATCACACTATTGTGAGTACCAGGAAAAGTTTTCGGCTAAGTGTTGCTGAAGCGGATGAAAGATTCAGTAGACACTCAAATTCTAGATCAACAGGTTGGATACCGATCATCGTCGAACAATCAGTTGAGTATAACTGGTCACTATAGATCGACATCATTGACTATGAGAAGGCGTTTGACAATATAAATAGCAGAATATTATGGAAATTACTTCGACACTATGGTATACCTAAGATCGTCAACCTCATACGAAATTTATACGATGGACTACACTGAAAACTGAAGCATAGAAGACAGCTGACAGACTCATTCCAAGTAAGAACTAGTGTCAGACAATGCTGTCTACTCTCCACCTTTCTCTTTCTTCCGGTGGTTGACTGGCTTATGAAAACCTTTACATCTGAAGACAAGCACAGAATACAATGGACAGCATCGGCATACTTAGATGATTTTGATTCCGTAGGTGACCTAGTCGTTCTATCCTAAGCGCACCAACAAACGCAGTTGAAGGCAACTACTGTAGCAGCAGCCTTTGCATCAGTAGGCCTGAACATACATAGGTGAAAAAGCATCATCTTCAAACACAACGCAGTGAACATCAACCTATTTGCACTTGGTAGAGAAACTCTGGATGATGTGAATACTTTCGCGCACTTGGTCAGCATCATCGATGAACAAGGAGGAACTGATGCAGACGTAAATCTAAAGATTGGCAAAGCCAAGAAAACATTTCTAGATCTGACGAACTTATGGAAATTAAAACAACCGATACCAAGATCACGATCTCCAATACGAACATCAAGACAGTTCTAATGTACGGATCTGAAACTTCGACAACTACAACAACCATCATTAACAACATACAAGTATTCATCGACAAGTGTTTACGCAAGATACTGAATATCATTTGGTCGGATACCATCAGCAACAACTTACTGTGGGAGATAACAAACCAGATTACAGATGAGCAAGAAACTAGGAAAAGGCGATGGAGATGGTGGATAGGACATACATTTCGGTTATTACCAAACTGTATCACGAGGCAAGCGCCAACTAGGAATCGTGAAGGGAAACGAAAAAGTGGAAGACCAAAGCACAAACTGCGTCGAGAATTGGAAGCAAACATGAAAAGGATGAATAGCAACTGGAAAAAACTTGAATGGATTGCCCAAGACTAAGTTTGATGGAGAATGTTGGTGGGTGGTCTATACTCACAGGCATAAGTTAGTAAGTAATTAAGTTGAATTCTTATGATAACTTAACAATTATTTTGAAATTTTTTAAATTCTCTTGTTTAATCTTTTTTACTTATTCACTAGTTTCAGTACAATATTGTGAAGACAATATTCTGAATAATTCTCCATTTTTTGACCTCCCTGAAATTGAACGAAAGTCTATATTAAGTTGATAAAACAACCCGGTTCTCAGTTTGAGGCGTGCAGTTTCAATAAATTCAATCTCACTATTATATATTGTCATGATATATGTTTTCTTATCCTGAAGTATTCTTGTTAATTTGGATAGAAAATATTATCACAGGTAATTGTGAAGGGTTTAACAATTGTTAGTAGTTACTTTTCTTATATAAATTCATCAATTTCAATATTATTAGAAAACAAGGAATGGGGGCTAATACTCCAGTTGTAAATCATTTGATTGTATATATAAAATTAAAGTATTTTGATAGCAAATATATGAACACGATATGTAACATAAATGTTTGTCTCATTCCTTAATTAGAAACTTTTTGAGTCGTTTTTTCATGTTCTTTGATAATCAGTTAATGTGAATCATCATAATCTGTGAGTTAAGTTGCTTTTTACCTGCAGATTGTATTTTTTAAAACTCCGCGGCTGGAGCCCCTCTGGGGCCATTGCCGGTTCCGATCCCGGATAAAAGAGGAACGTCGGGCATGGGGTTAGCAACTTCATCCCGTATAATTTTTTCAGTGTATATAAGAGAAAATTGATTGGTCTTACATAATACACCTTAAATCATTGTGTTTATACGTGTAATAACCAAATCCACAGTGATAATATAGGATAAAGTTAATGATTTATGATATGAATATAAAGCATCATTATTGATAAAATAATTTGAATCATATATGTATACATATATATATACTACTTATAAGTCAGTAAATGATAGAATATAAGAATAAACAATAAAATCAACCAGGACTAAATTATTATTTCGTTATATTTGATTTTAGTATATTCACTATGAAATATAAAACGAAAGTAATTAATGTATCGAAAAGAAAAGAAATATATCCTGGAGATCTAATAAATTCATTCAGTATTGTAGAGATCATGCATAATTTTTTATCTTGATTTACTTAACTGGTTTGATTTCCTGTTCGATCTTAGTTTCTAAGTTATCAAATATTATGAATTTGACAATATATATATATATATATATATAACTCTTATTTATTGTCGGTACAGTGATATGAGATTGTATCTGCTTTTATACTTCTTGATGTCGGATTTCAATTAACTCTGAGAATGTCAAATATAATTTACTAACTATATTTAACAATATGAACAGAGTAATATTTTAAAAGTTTGATTCTAAATTAAACTGTGAAATTAGATTTACATTGAACAATTTCAATGGAATAATTAAAGTTTCTCTCATATATATATATATATATATATATTCTGAAAATAATAATTCCAGAATTCACTCCAGTTTACAGGTATGATCAATTTGATATAAATAGTAACATTAGATGTGCAGAACAAACGTGATAGAAGAAAGTTATAAGTATACTAGTTCAGTAATTGTTTAGGTAGTACATGTATTACAGCGATCCAATGCATCAACTGGGAACTTTTAATATTTCTTAAATGGACAGCCTGTTGATATATGAACGGAGTAATTAAGGTCATTTCGTGTGTCAGATCGAATTAATGATAATTATCTACAACTAGAGAAATTAAAACGAAAACATAGAGCACGGGACAACAAAGCAGTAATTACCAAAATATATCAATCAGGTCTACCAAAATGAGTGTGTCATATGACATAGTGATATACTGTTGATGTTATTCAAATTACTTAAACTTGCTGGGGACGGTGTTAACATAAAGTGACAGCAAGTAGGTGGTTTAACTTAGGAAATGCACTAATAAAGATGGCTAAACATTTGAAGTTCCCATAATATCATTTGTGTAATGAGATACACTTGAAGGTGCTAGAACATTCAATGCATTTTCAAAAGAGCAGTATGAATCGATGCGGCAAACAAATAATGGGAGTGGTTTTATCGTACGGATAGATTGTGGTAGTTTATTCCAGAGTCTAGAAAATTTACAGGTAAAGTAATTCATATAGAGAGATGACTTAGAATAAGTTTGCTTCACTAGTGTCAAGGAATTATGGATGTCATAATGAGAAGTTTCTGTATATTGAATCACGTGATTGGATGTAAAGGATAGTTTATAATGTATTTTGAAGAAAAAGATAAGATTTAGTTTGAGTCTTCTCTTCCATAAACGGCCTAGTCCAAGTTTATTACATCTAGAATTATAAGTTAAGGTACAATCAGCTCCAAGAATACAAATATGCACTAGTATGGTTTGTAACAGAAGAGATAAAGTCTGTCACATGCTCTGTATAATTCCATATACTCGATGCCAGACAAAGAATTGATAATTAGGAAACCCTTTTTGTTATTCACAAGACAATAAACCGCTCATTATAATTTATTTCGTGCAAACTGTTGAAGTAACCAAAGAAGTGAAACGGGAGCTTTGAACAGAGAGATTGATTGATTGAAAATTTGTGGTTGATAAGAACTGACATAGTGAATGCCTAGAAAATGTATGCCAATCTGTTGAGAGGTTTTGGTTATCTCATTATAATAAGCATACCACACTTGCAATTTTTAAATTATAACGAACATTTGCAGTTCAGGGTCACTGTTTTCAAAACTCTGGGTTGATAATATATGTTGCTTGTTTAGACTAATCATCTCTTCTGAAAACCTAGGATGAGAGGTAGTCTCTGAATTTCCTGATGGAAGCATAACTTCTCTTGGTAATATTTTGGCTAGTCGATATATGCTAAAATCTCAAACCAACTATTGGGAGGGCATACGTATGTTCAAAGTTAATAACAAATCTTGGGTTTTTGTAACACTTAACTACTTTGGAATTTTCAAGTCGGAATATAATTTTTGATATAAGTGATACACCAGATCGTGTTTATTTTATTGTACTATAACAGTAGCAAAGATAATGGCGAATATATTTATGATGTTTTGACTAAAAGCCACAGTTTATGCGTGAAATGAAACTCGTATTATCACTATACAATATGACAATAAAATATCCTAACGAACAAAAACACAACTCTTTCACAGTAGCAAGTTACTAATATGGTTATCTTAAAAAATTTACTATAGTGGTGATTTGTACAAATAAGTTGTCCAGTAAACAAGTGAAAATTGTTTTACAAAAATATCCTCATAAACCGTCAAAAAAAGAAAAGAAATACATAGAAGTTCAAGTAATTATGTACATTTGATAATTTTCAGTAAATTTTGACGAAGATAAGCATCCGTTTTACGTGACAAAGGCAATACTAATTTGGATAATTGATTTAAAATTCCTGAACCGGTTAGTGAATTTCCACAATTTGCTTTAGCCCATGTATCTGGGAATTCGACTGTCTGACACAAGTTAATCACTCCAGACTGTTCATTTGAACTAGTATTTGTTGATAAAGGGCCAAGCAAATCACTGTCGAAATATGTACGGCTAACTCCAGTCCTTCGTAAGACATCAATACCGTTGGCACGTCTCCTCAATGGAATCTATAATTAAGAAATTTATGAAATAAAGATTTAGCTAATTGATAACTTTAATGGTGCAACTGAATACCTTAGAGTATGACAACGACGAGTAACTTGCGTATGGAAAAAATGTTGTGTTAACAGTTTATAGAAGTAGTGAAATCCTAATATGTGGTCAACAGTTACGTGTTTAGATCAATAGAATGTCAATTAAAGACAAATTGAAAAAATAAAATATACTAGTAAACATGCAAACTTTGGTAACTCTTAATTTTGAAAAAGAAAAACAAGTTTATTGAAAATACACTTACAATGTCTTGATGTCCTATACCAGCGATGAAAGTTCCAACACACTGAACATAATCTTGTTCATCCGATTTAGTGGCATCTAAAGATAATTTTTCTCCGGCTGATTCAATTAATTCTTGCCATGGCGTATACAAACTGTTGTTTGATTTCTCTGAATTTAATAAATCTGAATTAGCCTGATCAGTTGTATTTTCTGAATATTCTTCTCCGAGCTCAATGGGCTCGGCTAAGTCATTAATATCCCAGTTTTCTGGACCTGTCATATGTTGTCTAATTTGAGTGGATAAAGCTTCTAAAGAGTCTAGATTAATATTATTATTTAATCTATTTTGATAAGTGCTTTCATCTTTCTCATCAGCCAAATGATTTGAATTCGCATTATTATTACTATTAATGTTATCATTACTGTTATAGGTAACATCACGATTCATTTTGACTGACAATTCAGCTTTACATGTTAATTCATTGTTACAACCCAGTGAGGTGTCTGACGACAAAGTATTGATCATAGAAGAAGGGATTATCAAGTGCAATTCAGTATCCGAAACATCTTCACAATTTAATTCATCCAAAAGTTCACAAAGAGCGTGAGATATCTGTAGTTTTCGATCTTTGTCCTTAGGTAGAAGACAAGCTGAATGAGAGGGAGAACTCGAGGGATGATGAGCAGACTCAGTACAAACTGGAATGCTACTGGTTGACTTCCGATTTGGACTACAAGAATCGTGAACTTCATTTGTACTTCGTCGATCACGTTTTTGCAACAGAGGTGGATGTATGTCTGACTGGGATTTCAGTAACTACGTTCAAAAGGTAAGTTAGGACTAATGTATATGTGATACATGAGCATGAAAGACAACAAAATCATCTTGTATATATTAGTTATGTAAAGAAAGAATAAAAATCTTGCTAAACACTTATCGGATTAATGCGTAGACGATTTCAAGGAGAGTATAGATGAACTAGCTATAAATAGGTTAACTATTTACTTTCTAAATCTACAAATGTACTTAATAATTTGAAATATATGTTTAGTGAAACACAATCATAGTATACAGTATATGAGAGGCATCATAAAGAATAGAAAACCGACAGATACTTTAAGCACTAATTCCAGTAGGTCGACAATGACATTTGGATATCGTTGTACGCCAATGGATGACATGTCATACGATTGTTGATCAAGTTCGTTTAGTCTTACACTTAGAACATGCAAAAAAGAATATCAAAAAGATTACGTGGTTAACTGTTTCCATGATCATTTATTTGGGGATTGGGAATAAAAGTCATAGGTTTTACAACATACATTGATAAGTGAACTGTGGCTAAATTTCTTACGGAAGTATGAGGACATATGATTTTACTAGTCTGAAAAATGTTCTTTTGATATCGTGAAGACTAGATAAATGTTTTATAACAATAAAGTTAGAGCTGTGAGGTTTAAACACTTAGTCGTTATGTATTGAGGAGTGGGTTTTAATTCAGTCCCACAGATATCAGTTCGGAAGTTCGGGTAGTCTGTTAAGCCGGCACAATAAAAAAACAAGTCAATATCAAATACTTATATGTGAACTTGGTTAGAGTTCAATTCTACTTAATGTGATCAAGTTTAAGTTCATGGTGATTTAGTCTTCCGAGTTGACGCGTCATGCCTTTTCTGTAAGACTAAATAGATTATTAGGTTCTAAGCTGACACTAGTAAATAAGAATATTGGCAAATAAATTCTGATTGTTATTTAGTATAGATGACTGGACTATTTAGTCGTTGATGTAGTAATAATGAAAATTATCAAGTTCATCCGAAATAAACAACCAATTTATCATCAACTTCAACAGAACCAAATACAATTGTTACAAAACGTTATATTTTAAAACAGTGATTGATCTGAGCAGAATGAACACTAGATTCTGTGTACGGGTGCCATTGGAAAGTCTGAATGATAGATACGTCAAATAAACGAAACAAAAGTACGAATATTGGTTTTTTAAAAGTCAGCAGACATCTTATCTAATACGTATATATTACGTATTACATAGTTGAGAGTAATAGCTAATAAACACTGAGCATTCAGACAAAAGATGATCAGATATTCCGGTAAATCTGAAAGATGTAGACCGAATCGAGTAAAACTGAGCTTTTATCGCTTAGATTCTTCTACTCTGCCAGTTAGAAAGTTAAATAAACTAACTATTAGAAATGTTAGTATATCTAGAGAAATCACGAAAGTATAACACAACACTAACATAATTGGTAAAAACAATTACATTAAACTATTTTTTTTTTTGGTGTTACTAAGATGTACTTTCAATGTGTAATTAACGCTAAATGATACGAACTGCATGCAAAACGATGGAATAGTTATGTGGATTCTTCTAGTTCTGTCATTAGTAGATTGTTCTATGACTAATCTGGAAAATAGTCCGTGAATTTTAACCATATCGAAGATATATTGGAAATATTTTTATTATTTGTGATTTTACAGATATTCATTAACTACCATGTAGCAACAAAATTTACCTTTGCGTTAAAAAATGGATTAAATTTCCACTTCTTTGGTGTTGAATTAACAACAGTCGTTTAATGTGTGTTCTAAATGGGACACAGGAACACTATAAAATATGGTTGAAAAGAAAGCAACATGAGGTGCAATAATAGAATAACCTTGTCGAAATCGACTGTTCAATTAAAGTAGCCTCAAATCCTCTCTGTTGACCTCAGCCTAATCCAATTTACCCTTGTTTCCAAGATCTTTCTGACCACATTTCACTTTCAAAGTTCCATGTCATAGATTTTATATTGTAATTTCGACTTAACTTTTAATTGTTGATAATAAGAATAACATTTGTACTTTTAGTTTCTTGTAGCATTATTTCATTAGCGATAATTATAAGTAGCGAACATCTTACAGATTATCATGATAAAACTTTATTACGTCGAAATAAAAAGATGTCATGACTAATATTAATCGTTTGGCAAGACAAATTGACGTTCGGTACAATTTTACTAGAAAACTTTGATTCCAAAGCAAACCCTTGGTTGACAGATATAACTGCCAAACATTGTATGACAGTTATGCAGTCGAAATATGGATTAAATAGTTACAAAAGAATGATTCACTATGCCGAAATACGATGATCATCATTAACTAAATTGACTGTAGATACTTACGTTATTGACTTGTTGACGTTTTGAATGATGTTGAGGTTCATAATTCTCACGAAGTTGTTTTGAGATTTTAGGTGACGGTGATAAAGATTCAATAATTTCACGTCGATGACTTCCACTTCCGTGTCTTTTTGTGCTATTAGAATCACGTATGTGACGACGTTCATAATTTTTCGAATAACTAACCTCATGTAAATCAGGATGGTCATCCGGATTATGATATCTAGGTTTTGTCTTGACGAGATAAGTCTTTGAGTGAATATGTTGTTTATCACCTGCGCGGTATGTTGATGTTCGTCGAGATTCGTATCTTTCCGAGCCACTACGACTTCTTTCACGGTGAGGTCCATGATGTCTTGAGTGAGACCCATGACTTGGGGATAAATGATGACGTTGTGTTGACTGACGATACCCATAACTTAAAGTAGCTGAATTATATCGCTTTGACCTTGAAGGTGAACTGACGGGTGATTGTGTTCTTTTTACTGAATAATACTTTTCTTCAGGATTAGTTCCATGACCGCTATCTGTGGCCCGTGTAGGAAGGTCAGGTTTGTGATCATGATGTAAATGCATGGATGGCGATCTACTGTTCTGCTCATACCTCTGCCTATGTAACCTTTCATCAAAACGTGGGTCATGGACGCGGTGCATTTCATGCTTTCCGGAGCGTGTCGGGGATTGGCTACATGAAGATGAACGCGAAACATGTGAAGAACATCTAGAAGCGGATGAGGGTGTCCCTGGAACGGGTTCATAAGTACAGGAACGTGAAACAGCTTCAAAGCTTTGCTCTTTGACTGAAGTTGGAGCATCTTGACGACAACTGTCCCCGCAAGCGACAGATTTGGTAGAACGATGAGTTATCCCATCCACCATTGACATCTTTGAGGAACCATGAGGTTTGTCGCGATGCTTGTGTTTACGGGCAGATTCTTTGACAACTGATTGATCAACAGTTACCTCAGAGTTCGCTTCATCGTGTTTGCTACGCTTTTCATGCCTTGTTTCACCTTTCGAATGTTTCCGCTTTTTTTTCACATGTTCGCGCTTGTTTTTGTCAAGTGTAATTTCTTTTTTAAACCCTTCTTTACCTGCACTATTAGGTTGGCTAACATCCGAGGAGAGCTTAGGACTGATAACGACTGAGGATTCGTTTCTATTCTTTGCATGTTTTGTTTTCAGAGTTTTCTCTTTACCATCTGAGTGAGTAGTTTGAGAACTTCTTTTTGAATGGTGTTTGGATTTTTTCGTAACTTCCTTAGGTGAACTACAATCGACATGTGATTCGGCATCTGCTGGTTTACAGGTCCCTCGTATGAGTGTTTGGTCTTCTGGACAGATAAGTTCCGCTTGTCGGGGCATTTTAGCTTTATTTGGTATCTACAAAATGATAAGAGACAATATACACATTAAATCATTGATATCTTCCGAAACCTGTTGTAAATTAACAGTTGACACACATTATGCAGATAAAAATTCACTGCTTACTTACAGATTACACTAGATATAACTGATGTCATTGACACTAACACTAAAAATCAGTCTCATACCTAAAGCAGTAGTAAACTTCGAAGACTATATAGTGACAGCAAACGTAAATTCACAATAACTAACTAATTTCGGCAAAGTAACGAAATATTATCCAAATTTCAAACAACCTACTTTCAAGGGTATAGATGCCCAATCAGGTAATAAATTGGGAGGTTCGAAGCCCGCTCTGTCTACTTCGGTTTCAGTGATGTACAACGTAGAACCTGACAAACGTATGTCTGTTCAGATTTCCACATAACATTAACACGGAGAGATAAAATTATCATGACAAATTTCTCAATAGCAGAAGTGGTAACAGTATTGGCTTGAGTAACCGGGTACTATTACTAGCCCAAATACGTAATGTTGCTCAAAGCCAAGTATACGAATCTTCATATAGTAAAAGCACAGCACAGCTATTCCAAGCAAATATAAAATCGGGTAATACCAAAGGCCAATAACTTGATTATTTTTCAATAACCGTGACGCCTGTTGTAACAAAGGAAGGAAGTGAGATACAATCGAACTTTACGAGTTGATCCTGAACATGTATTTGCCAAAATACGTAAATTCCACGCGCAAAACGAAAATGAGATGGAGTAAGTTTCTATCAAGCATCTTAAGTGACTACTATAGTACATAAATTACATGACTAAAACGAATCAAAGGATTTCCGCACTGATTATCAGGATGGGTCTTAAAAGACGGTTTTAGTTTCAGTTTGGAAAGGACAGGAGGCTGGATGGCCTGTGTTAGTCCTGGCAATGGTGATCTCTCAGTTGATCCAACTTCCTTTTGGAAGCGTCAACGGATGTAGCTTCAATTGAGTGTTGAGGTAATGAATCCCACTCGTTGATAATTCGATGGGAAAGTCGATAGTCAGCTGACAAGTAATTTGTTCTGGGTTTGTGAACTTTCTTAGAGTGTCATCGTAAATTCTCTGTTTTGGAAGAGAAGAAAAATGAGGGCATATCAGGTGCAAATTTATCACTAAGCAATTTGAAAACTGTAATCAAGTCACCTCTAGTTCTATGATATGACAATGGATATAGGTTTAGTTTAGCCAGTCGATCATACAGAAGCTTAGATATTCTGGGAATCAGCTTAGTTGGGGTTCTTTGAACCTTTTCCAACGTTTCGCTGATTTTTTAAACAGGGGCTAACCGCTTGTATGCAATACTCGAGTTTAGGATGATCAAACACTGTATACAGTCAAAAAGTTTAAGCATTGACATAGCTCAAGTCTCTACGCATTGACTATGGGGTTTACAAACCTTTAGCGGCTATCACACGGCAGTGTGCGATAGTTTTTAAGTCTTGGCTAACAATAACTCCTAGTTCATTGTGTGTATGGACAACAGGCAACTCAATATTATTCGTCGTGTATGTATCTGTACCTTGGTGATCAATATTTATTTATTTATTATTTATTTTAACACATAGATATTGATACAAGGAGTCAATTGACTTTAATCATAAGGAAAAACATCTTTTAACATGGCGACCCGCTAATTCGTCCCGACGCTGGACTCAAATAGATCACGTCGCTATCAGCCACCGATGGAGGGGTTCGACAGAAGACAGTCGCTCATTCTGGAGCACATGCTTAGACTCAGATCAGAGGTTCGAAGCCCGCTCTGTCTACTTCGGTTTCAGTGATGTACAACGTAGAACCTGACAAACGTATGTCTGTTCAGATTTCCACATCACATTAACACGGAGAGATAAAATTGTCATGACAAATTTCTCAATAGCAGAAGTGGTAACAGTATTGGCTTGAGTAACCGGGTACTATTACTAGCCCAAACACGTAATGTTGCTCAAAGCCAAGTATACGAATCTTCACATAGTAAAAGCACAGCACAGCTATTCCAAGCAAATATAAAATCGGGTAATGCCAAAGGCCAATAACTTGACTTTAATCATAAGGAAAAACATCTTTTAACATGGCGACCCGCTAATTCGTCCCAACGCTGGACCCAAATAGATCACATCGCTATCAGCCACCGATGGAGGGGCTCGATAGAAGACTGTCGCTCATTCTGGAGCACATGCTTAGACTCAGATCATGCTCTAGTGCGAGTACGTATTTGCCTACGTCTTACTGGACGTAGGAAAGATGATTCAGGGAAACCCCTTAGGGTCCTACTTAACGATAGTCAAGCTAAGAGTATATTTCAGGAACAACTAAAAAAACAGTTAGGCAGGCACGTAACTGATGCCCACCCCGAGGCATCCGAAAAGTTGTAGAAACATCAGTGATGTCTGCAGGTACGGCTAACCATAATGTTAGGGAGAAACACTGGATCTCAGCAGCGTCTACCGCACTGATAGATGCTCGTAAACTCATTCCATCTGGCTTTGAACATAACAAAGAGCGGAGTCAGCTTAAGCGTAAACTGACCAGAAGCCTACGCAATGATCGTGAACAATGGTGGGTAGCGAAAAAAAGAGAGATGGAAAAGACAGCGACAATAGGTAAAAGCAGACAACTGTTCAGACTTGTTAAAGAAACCGGTATTAAGAACTCAACTGTTAGCGGAACAATCTCAGAGAAAGATGGGCATATTATTCATTCTCAATCCAGGAGATTGGATCGATGGGCAGAACACTTTAGGGATCAGTTCAACTGGCCTTCAGCCACACTTCGGTTTCCCACGATCTCCAATCTACCAGAATGGCAAGTAAATGTAAGTCCTCCGAGTCTTTACGAAGTTGAAAAAGCTATAGGAAATCTGAAGCGTGGAAGAGCAGCAGGCCCTGACAGGTTTACCCCTGAGATTTTTAAGGATGGTGGCCCAGTATTAGCAGTGAGATTGATTGAGGTCTTAGGTAGAATCTGGGAACTGGACGTAATCCCGTCTGACTGGTCTTAATCACTGATTGTGCCAGTCTATAAGAAAGGACAAAAGTCCTCTTGTGACAATCACAGAGGAATTAGTTTAACTAATATAGTGTCTAAAATATTAGCTTCAATATTACTTCGACGTCTAACCAAAGCTCGTGAAGAGCAGACTAGAGAAAACCAGGCTGGTTTCCGACCTGGACGTGGTTGTATAGATCAGATATTCACACTACGTCAGGTCCTAGAACATAGACACACATTCAGACGCCCCACAATGGTAGCATTTCTCGACCTTAAGGCGGCATTTGACTCTGTTGATCGTGAGGTTCTGTGGCAGTGTTTGTCAGTTAAAGGAGTACCAAAGAAGTACATTAACCTTATAAAGGCTTTCTACTCGAACACAACTGGTCGAGTGAAAGCATATGGAGAACTGTCATCAGAACTGATTACCTCAAGTGGTGTTCGTCAGGACTGTCCACTCTCTCCATTCTTGTTTAACTTTGTCGATGACGTCCTTTTAGAGATGACACTTTCCTCATCTAAATTTCCAGGAGTTGAACTTTTACCAGGAGATTCACTTTTTGACTTAGAATATGCCGATGACATCGTTCTATTTGGTGAAGACGCTGACAAAATGCAGTCTTCTGACCACTCTAAGCAACAATGCAGGCATGTTCGGCATGCGATTTTATCCCTCGAAATGCAAAATGTTGCTTCAGGATTGGGCTGCATCGGCACCCGAACTAGTGATAGGGAGTGAAGTAGTTGAGCGTGACGACCGCCTCACTTATCTTGGAAGTCTCATCAGCCCTTGTGGTTTGGTGTGTGACGAAATCTCAGCACGGATACAGAAGGCCCGACTAGCTTTTGCCAACTTGCGTCATTTGTGGTGTAGGCGAGATATCCTTCTATCAACCAAAAGACGTGTTTACGGTGCAGCAGTTCGTTCCATCCTACTTTATGGCAGTGAAACATGGCCAGTAAGAGTAGAGGATATTTGTAGGTTACTAGTATTTGATCATAGGTGTCTTCGAAACATTGCTCGTATATCCTGGTACCACCGAGTAAGTAACTCAGTTGTTAGGAAATGGGCACTAGGTAAGGATGGCAAATCAATTGATGATGTAGTGAAACTTAATCAGTTGAGATGGCTGGGACATGTGTTGCGCATGCCAGACCACCGACTGCCACGACGTGCGATGTTTTGTGGTGTAGGAATAGGTTGGAAGAAAGCTAGGGGCGGCCAGACCAAAACATGGTACAAATCCATGAAGTCACTGACAAGTGGACTGAGCCATGTTGGTAGGTGTAGACTACCTGGTTGGGGACCGCGAGATGATAACAACCGATGGTTAGAGACCTTGAATGACATGGCTCAAAATCGTTTGCAATGGCGCAGGTGCATCCACTCTCTGTGTTTCCTCAAACTCTGACCTTCTGAATTTTTCATGTCCTTCATTTTCTTTCAAAATCTATTCCACTGGACTATACTCCTTAAGTAACATCATCAAACCATAATGTTCTCTATCACTACCTCTTCCACTACGGGATTTGAATCGATAACTGAATCTCTGTGCTAATGTGGTATGGCAACTCGAACTGATGTACGTACGTACGAAGTCCCACGTTGTTACTGACTGACTGACTGATCGTCTGAGACCTGGCAGAGAATTCATGCAGACTATTGTGGTCCGTTTCTTGGCAAATACTTGTAGTCGTTGATTCTTTTTTAAAGTGCAAGTACACTTTTAAAAAAAGTACAGATGATTAGTTACTTTCGAGGAAAAACAATACTCTTGATGCATAATAAACAACCAAAACTGCAAATTCAACTCAGAGAGGAAGAATACCACTGTTCTTTTTAAAGATGTTACGGTTGTTCAATGCAGAGAAGCCCTCGACAAAATACTGATCAATGGATAAACAGCTGCGAAATTAACGAAGTAAATCTGATTACTAGTTGCAGATATTAACCAACAAAACATATTAACAACATGAGGCACTTTGTATGTAGGGAAATCAATATCGTTTTACGAACTACATTCTGGGTTGTTCAGACAACCCTAGATTTATGTTGATGCTATTCTAATAATGCTTTATGTCATTCAGGAAGTGTACCTGACTATTGCACTGGGTGGATGTGGGTCATCATGACCTAAGAAACAGAACCTAAGCAGTCTCCATAAAATTATGAACCGACTAGCTTTAGAAAATCGTGATGATTATCAATAAAACCATTATGACTCTCCTTAAAACTCAATGCTTGTAATATGGTGACCAGTTTGGCTTTGGTAATGGTAAGTCATGCAAAATACACTTTATTTGAGGGCTGGTCAGCAAGAAGTAAATTATATTAGGGAAGGTTTGGACGAACTTCCAGACACTATGGATATTGGATTCGGAAGACTTAAAGACTGCCAGATACTCACGTAGATAGGCTAGAGCTTTTGTAGTTAGCAGACAACACAGACTAAGAATAGTTAAAAGTTTTTTAAATTAGTGCTTAATGCAGTGTTCCAGGCCACAGTACTGTAGTACATTAGACCTACAAATCTAATGTTCCTTATACTGTACGTCAGTGAACTCTCAAACACTACCAATTCTTGAATACTGTGTTATGCAGGTGAGGTTAGAAACTGAGGACGAACTGCATTCCATTGTATCCATAACTTGTATATACTATCTCTTACATCGTGTAATCCACTGGAGCCTAATGCCAAACGTGTCTGCTTTCATGACTGAATGAATCATCTAACAGGAGACAACAAATGAAGAAACACACTAAAAGAGACTAAGACGGGCCCACTACTAACTGAAATAATTTAACTTGTAAACACGTCCAGAAGAGAAAAGCCGAAGGGTTCATCGATACAAATGACGAAGAAACAATTTGCCGACAAGTTGGCCTTTATAAAATACTACTTTAGTTTTCTTAGTCGTATAGAAACACGCAACAACTTACTCTTAGAGGTAAATTAGCGACAGCTTTATACGGGCTATACACATGTAACGCATCGGTTGAACAATCCACTCTATTCTTCAGATGGTTGCGACAAAATAGAAAGAGCTATCAGTTGACGGCTTTCTTATCTAGAAGCAGTTTATAATCGATACTACCAGGTTGAGAATTGAGCATATTATTTACATGCAATAGGGAAATAATTGTAAATTATAATAAAATATAGTCCTGAGTCCTTAATACATCAAGTTTTCTTTCGAAGGGCTCCCGAGTAGTCACGCGGACCACCTCAACCGGAAACAAATTCCCGGGTTTACTAATCGTGTATAGTAGGAGGTGTGTTTGCGGTACAGTTAACTGTTCTTGTACAGCCAACCTGCTGACCTTGGTGGGCAGATGGACAACCGTCATCAATTGCGATAGGACGGTTGACGGCATATACCTTGACTTCTCATTGGCTTTTGATGGGGTCAATAATATATGTCTTATCGACAAATCGAAATGATTAGTTATTGATTGGCTTGTAGTGGCGTTGGGCCCTAAACACATAATTCTCAAAGCCGAACACGAGACAATTGAGAAAATGAATATTCAACATTTAACGCGGAGAAAAACCCAACAATGGATTAGACGAGAAGGATGGATTCAATTGATTGAATTCATCGGCACGGTCAGGACGCTGGGCCATAGGTTTTCGCGCACATGTTACATGTTGTTTGGGCTTATAGATGTTGTTATTTATCAGGTATCGACAGCATTTTTCCGTCACCATTTATCAATTCAAAGTAGACTGAAATCAGAGTTTTAAGCAAAAATGAGCTATGAAACCATTCGCATTTGATTCACCTCCTTAATTATGGTGGTGTTGAAAATGCGTGTTGGTAGCTGTTTATAAAATGTGTGTTGAAGCACTCAAGAGTTAAACTAATTTTGAATATTATATAAGTTGCTAATATGCAGTCATAAACAGTTCTATCCATCACAATTATCATCGTTTTTGACTGCATTGACATATTATTATGTAACGTGTCTGGGAAAGAAAAAATACAAGTAACAATTGACGTTGATAGCCTTTTCTCCCAGCTCTCTGAGCATATACAGGAACTGTGTATAGCATTACTGTGAGTGCCACATTAGTCACTCACATTCCCTTTATAAGTCCAACGATATGTGCTTGTTTTGAGCATGGTAACTAAACCATGCTGTGATTAATACTAAATTATGATGTCTGTTATAAGGTTGACGAATGAATTTCCGAAATCACTGACCAAATTTTAAACAAAGTTTAAATGCATATTGACGGGTAATATCTAAGTAGTGCTTACCAGTCATGTTATTGTTATATTGAAAACAGTGAAATGCTAGTAGTATTATGAGAGTTGTAGTTGGATTTTTCTCAGATTTTATATAACTAATTAAAGTTTTTGATTCAGTTTATTTGGTGTCTGAAGTTTTTGTTAATACCAAATCACTAGATAAAGTTCTAGGACGTTAGAAAATGAAGAGCACTGTAAGACACTTGTAAATACATCCTGTTAGCTGCGATTTCATTTACTTATCGTTTTTGATACTGATAACGAAGTTTAACAGTTTGTTTTGCGACTGATTTGTTGTTTTTCAGAACTTTGTGAAGCTGAGAAGGTCCTTATACGTTTTATGATATGCAATTTATGCCAAGTAATTGAAAGGCTCAAACATTTCCAATAATCAAGTCTATGTCGATGAACAACTTAGCGAATTTATGATTATGGAAGATTATTTGGAGAAATAATCTACAAATTGACGATTACTGTGTTTTATGTTGACTACTGCCACGTTCGTTCATATAATGACTCATGATCTTAATCATTGAAATTACTACAATCTCCACAAAACCCCTTCTGATATAATGAATTATTTAAATATAAATATAACAACTATACAGTCTTTTGCATCATAAATGTCTTGAGTATGTAGAATTATAGTCTAGTTCGGTACTAATATTACTTTGATAACGGACCTAGTCTCAAAACGGTGAATTTGTTATGTTGTGATCGCTTAATCGGTAAGATCAAACATCACTATTCACACATACTCGTCATATCGTCACAGTTATCAATGATACTTAGTACTTTTAAAGAACACGTTTGGGCTGGGGATAGAATAATATATTCAGTGTGGATAGTAATAAGTATCGATTCGAATATACTGTCATAGTGAATAGTTATATATACAATGCAACGTTCTAGCGAAACTTCTACACTGATGCAGTACAACAAATTGTCATAAGAAAACGGATACTTATAAGGCAAACACTTATTTATTCCTAATTCCCACAAAGTTACTCGTTAACATGATTGGTATAACTCCACATGAAACTACGAAGAAGACGAAAGTAAAAATTGTGCAAAAGTTTGTTGATACATCATAACTACTGGCAAAGGATGAATGATATATGAAGCGGAAAAATAAGTTTAAAAAATGTATATATAGTGAAGCCAAAAATAAAGCCACAAAGAACGTTTTGTCGTAAACAGTTCACGTGACGTCTCCGCACTACAAAACAGAGAATGCCAAACTAATGCTTTCAGCAGTGATTTTGTGCTTTTTAATACAGCGAAAGCTGACTTTAATGTGAGAAAATTTTATACTCATGCAACCCAACAAGCCCACGGCAATTGAAATACGGAATGGTCGCCACCTGTCAGGCCGTTCAAGGTCGTTGAAATGAGACGGCTGGCGGCTTTGAAAGGATCTGTCGTTTTCCCCATGTTAAATTAATCGGACGGTATGGCTCGGCCTTGCAGGCGTGGTCCCTATTGAATGTTGCCTTATATCCTTTATTCATATAAAAAATATATTGTTCTATATCTAGCCTAAGCTTGTTCTCCATCATGTATTGGTAATTGTTACAATGCAATGTGTTGGTGTACATGATGATGTGACTTCCACGTAAGATCTTACAGATTAGGCAGTTATATCATGAAAAGTCTACAATTTTAGGATAAGGTCGATTATTAGAGCAGTGTTAATATCACAGTAGTCCACAATTGTACATTGTTCAGGTACGTGAATTTTTCCACCTTTCATAGAGTTTCTCCATCAAGTGTGATTTGGTTGGTGCTCTCTGTATTGTATTTTAGGATCTGGCTTTTACCCTTACGTATATGTAATCCTACTGCTGCAGAAGCTCCTGCTATACTGACCGCTTTCACCTGCATTTGTTCGTGTGCGTGGGATTGGAGGATTAGGTCATCCTCAAAGTACAAATCGTCTAGTTGCATGCAAGCTGTCCCATGTATTCGTGCTTCCTCTTGGATGTTGAGGTCCTCGTAATCCAGTTGATCATCATAAGGAAGAGGAAGTGGGAGAGTAAGAGACCTTACTTGACACCGGTCTTCACTTGGAACTCACCTGTCTTTCACGCACCGCTTTGCACCGCTAATTGTGATTCCCTTTGTTTTGAAAGATGAGTTGACGATCATGAATCCATTAAATTCCGATCCTATAAGTGCTTTTCGTGCTTTATTGGACAACACCAGTGCAACTCCTTGTGCATGCTAAGCATTTTTTTCTTCATGACGATAGTAAAAGAGCATCTCACCCGAATCTTACCTTTTTTGTCCCGATAAGGTCCAATCGGTTTTACTGATTCCGAGCACTACCATCATGTATCTCCTCAATTCCGTTGCTATTTGGCTGGTCCTCCCGGTTTCCCACATTATCTGATCGTATTGTATTGAGGATTCGGAATCAGGTAGTCATCAAATATGAAAGGAATCATTAGCTCATACAAACAACATTAATCCACCAAAAGTTAGACTCAGAAAAGAGCTGTATTGGAATTCGTCCTAAACACACAATGCTGAAAGCTTAAGATGAGATAACTGAAAAAATAGATATTCAACATGGAGAGAAGGACAACAATGGTGAAAGCGGGAGGAACTAATTAAATTCAATCAGGTGGTATGGCTCAATCTTGCAGATGTGGTCATTCTGCATAACTTTTTGCTCAAATTAAATATATTTTTCTTTCGCTAGCCTAAATGTGTTATTTAGAAACCTCAGACATTATGTTGTCGACTGTCAGGATACGATGAATCAGTGTAGATAATGATGTGAGTTCCAAGTAAGATCTTACAGATTAGGCAGTCACATCATGATGTATCTAATGTTTTAGGACTAGGTATATCACTATAATAATACTAATAATGAAGTAAACCATAATTCTACGGAGTTATTGTACTTGAAGACGCCACAAGTATTCAGAGTTTGACAACGCTTTAACCAGTAACACCTTCTAATATGAAGCGCACCCACCAAGTAAAATCAAAAGACAGAGGCGAGGGGATCGAAGATATATTTGATAAGCTATCAATATATCGAGGATCGTTTGAACTAATCTGGCTGGCGATTGAGACAGATGTTGAGCACGGCGTTCCCACACGTGATCTGTTGCGGATGCTTGACCGAGCGCCTTCAGCTAGATGAGTCCATTTAAACTGTGGTCAGCATCCAATGTCGAAAACTTACAGAGCTATTTATTTTGGGGATTTATTTACTGCTACATACTAAAATGGTACTTTTGTTCATCTAAAAACAGTAAAAGTTTGATTACGAATGACATTAAGATAGTACTTCCTGCTTACAAAGAAATAGGTAGCTAAGCGAACAAATTATATAGTTTTTGATAGATATTTTTTCTCGTTGAAAGAGATTTCTTCACAACAGAGTCTAGGCTTACTATTTATAAAATTTGTATACGACCCTTTTTGAATATTACTTTTATATCTCCTCAAACTTGAATACCACATATAAGATACAAGTGGATGTCCGAGGACGCTGCACACGCCGACTGCTAGTATGTAACTCCACTCTCGACTACACAGATAGATGTGAGCACCTCTCTTTAGAACCTTTAGGTATCGTCGGCTAAGAAACAATCTATTATTTCTCTACAAAACAATATGCGGACTCACATTTCTAACCTCCTGCCCAACTATGATCAATGAGGTAGTCTAATGACCCAGAAACAACGCGTATACACGGCTTATAGCAAAACACCGAAAACCATTGCGTTGTAAGTTTTCTACAGTGCGGTATAGTTTATAATGCAACAGGTTGCCAATGCCTATCTGTAACTGTGACACTATAACCAAGTTCAAAAGACTAATAACACTATTACTTGACAATAAAGAGCTTCACCAACTAGTCCCTGAGCTTCTGCCACCGCTTAATATCATTGTCATTAATATGAACATAACCAAATGATAGAACACATTTTTCACCCTCTCCCAATATTAATTGCTTATTAATTATGCCCCCATGCCCCTGATCCTCACTTTCAGATTCCAGATCTTTCTGATGCTCAAAATTGCATTATTCTTCCTGAGAGTCATGTCATTTCTTTCTATTACACGTAGATAGACAACTCGCTAATCTCATCGAAGCTGATCAACTGTGGCCGACCACAAAAATCTCATAATGTTCCAAAGTCTTGTGAGTTGCTCAATGTTTTGTACTGTTAGCCCGAAAACTTTACAATTCTAAACTCTTGCATATTATTTCATTTGTTATCTATTCTTATCATCTCTAAACCACATATAAACTGACTTGTTTTGTTAAACTCGTAGCGTGGTGTCGAGTTGCGATTGACTATGAACACCGCTACAAGAAGACTACGTGCCAATTAACCAATAAGATCCCCGTAGACCAATATCACAAGGCAGATGATGGCTGTAGTCGAGATGTATTTGTTGGCGATATCGTGGTATCGAAAGAATACCGAGATCGTGCCGAAGGAGTACAAGCGTGGTTACTGAGCGTAACCGATTTCGTACAAGTTCAAAGTCGACGGGAGAGTAAGTGTAATGGCTGTCATTAGCATAGTTAAACAAACGAGCACAGTAAAACAGTCACTGGTACAATTGTTTATAATAATAACTGTTTTCATCGAACCAATCGCGTTCTGTTGACAAAAGTAGGTCACTACAAACTTTTACCATTAGTTATCTTCATAGCAGTGTGATATACCAAATGGATATCTAACCCATAATACAAATGCTTTAGCCATCTGATTTGCTTGTAACATGGAGCTAGTAAAGACGGTGTATTCCAACGAGGAGTTGAAATTAAAACAGTATCCATACACACTATGAACGTAAGAGAGCCTAACATCACAAAAGGGGGGGAGAGTGGCGTTACTGACCAGCAAACGTGATGGTGGGGAGATAAGTTCGATCCACCCATGTCTGTACGGCAGAACATTTTGTTAAATTATGGTCACGTGGGGTGTCACGAACCAACGATATTAATGTTAATTTATTATACAAAATACCTCTTAAAATTGTGTTTGTGACGTAGAATTGGTTTCACTTCCTACCGAGCAATCCTATTACAAGCAAAACTAGAAAATTTTTTAAGTATGAAGCCTGTTCATGACCCTACAAATCCAATAAAAATAAATGAGCTGAAATAGCATCGACATTTTCAGCTCTCTCAAGATGTGTCACCTACAGCGCATATGAGGCGGGTGACTTCGCCCTGTGGCATCATTAATGCCTAAGATGTTCCGAGGGGGTATAAGGTCACGGTTTATAGAAGCTCTCGAGTTTACTTCCGACTATCAGTTGCACGTCGCAACGCAATCTCCATAGAGCGCGCTAATCGTCATATTGACAATATGGATCTTACCAATAGTTTTTAAATTCGTGCGTGAGAAGTATTTTCCCACATACGTTTATGATCAATGTACCCTATAAAATATCAAGTCAACTGAGTAACCCACCATAGTGAAGACTGTATCTTCTGTAACAATTTGGTCTTGCCTGTGAAGTTGCATGCCTGATGTAAAAAATGTTATTTGAGAATACAGTCCGTTGGTTCAGCGGCTCGTCTTAGTACCTCGCTAAAAATGCTGAGTGTTTTTGGGTTCGTAACCAAAAGCGCATGATATTTTTGTTTTGTATTCTAAATGTTGGGCTGAAGCACGAGATATATAGTAAGCAAACCCGTAAGCAAATAAGACCAGAATTCGAGTATGACGAAATGTAAACCTATGATTGAACCATAAGTCGAGGTGTCTTTGCGTATGGAATTTTAACTGACTGGTCATAGAAGAAGATGCATACCACGGCTTGTCGGAATAAGACCTGGTAGGGATGCACAGTCGAGCACCTGAGTCTAATAATATGTACAACAAATTAATAAGATCAGAATCAGTATTCAAGACACACAGGGCTATTTGCTTACAACTGAATGGCTACTTTTTATGGGTTTTTCAACGTATCACTGATAGAAAGCAGAAGCTCTTTATTTATAACCCACAAGAATGCATTTGCACAAACTGGAGCATGTTTGTAAACCACAAACAACTATCAGCCGCGTACGAAGTGATTTCATTACGATTATAATCAGTCACTTATGCTGACGATGGATATTGTCTGATGTTGGGTAACAGTGATGTACAATACATTGTGTTGTTTGTCCTCGTAACTTGACAGGTACTTGGATATGATAATGCTACAGCAAAACGCTGCTAGTGTCCGTCGTACACTGATACTATCGATAACTTTGAGTGTCTGAATGCACTCACTCCCATTACCTGGGCACCCATTATTCCGTCAGCTTGGAGAAGTCATACTGATACAGCAAAGAAGTTGTAGCGTGGTGTCGAGTTGCGATTTAATATGAACACCGCTACCAGACTACTTGCCAATAGACCAATAAAATTCCGGTAGGCCAAAATATCAGAAGGCAGATGATTGTAGTAGTCGTATATATTTGTTGGCAATCTCGTGGTATCGAAAGAATACCGAGATCGTGCCAAAGGAGTACAAGTGTGGTTACTGAGCGTAACCGGATTCGTACAAGTTCGAAGTCAACGGGATAGTAAGTATAATGGCTGTCATTAGCACAGTTAAACAAACGAGCACAGTAAAACAGTCACTGGTACAATTGGTTATAATAATAATTGTTTTCATCGAACCAATCGTGTTCTGTTGACAAAAGTAGGTCACTACAGGAGCCCCCCGCTAGAAAGGGTTTACACTTTCGATAGTTAGCGGTTTGATTCGTGGGACTGATCGGCAGAATTGCGGTTGTAGGACGGAGGAAATTGGCGGAACAGGAAGTGATCATTGATCCTCGAGTTGCCAACGAAGGTCTTTTGCGCAGAACGGTACCAGGAGAAGTGTGCTGTATTTGTTGGTCGAATTAGCATACCACACCAGAGTGGTTTGTATCCAGGATCTGATGATTGCGTTCGTATGGATGCGGACCAGAAAACGCTGCAGACGTAGGACGAAACCACGTTGAGCCAAGAAACCGGACGCGACCATAACTACCAAGCATATGCCAGGCGAATTCGAGACCAGATAATCGACTGAGTGCGTTGACTAGAGCGTGGGTGGCCAAACCAGCTTTTGCCAAAGTTGACTGAAGTCGACGTTATCAAATGGACGATGGTCGGAGGCGTGGGCTCAGGATACAAAAAAAATCAAAAAAAAAAAGTGTAGCATGCGTGTAGTATAGGAATAATCCTACACCGTATCCGTTATTGACTGTGCGTTTAGTGACGAAAGCGTACGGGTAATCGTACTCGGCGACCGGAACGTGAGACGGTAGTCTTGTTCGTGCTTCGTGAGCCTGCGATCTCATCCGAGGTCAAGGGCGGCGTGGTCTGCCGATCTGGAAGTGAGACGGAAGTCTCGTCCGTAGATGGTGCAGATGACGCGTGCTGTTGACCGGGACGTGAGAACGAGGTCTCTGATGTATCTAGCGTGGGATCCGAGGTAGACGTAGAGATCCCGCTAGAAGGTTTGATAGGTCTAGCATTGAGTCTCAAGTTATCGGGTAGGCACTGTCATCGACGTGTGCTGGTTTGAGACGATCAATGCTGACGATCTCGACGCGGCCGTGTCGATCAACCTTTGAAGGTCTTTTCGGTGACGAG